GTTCCTGCCGCCTCCTTCGGCCCCGTCCTTCGCTCCTCTTCAATCCTTGGCACAGGTCAGGACTCCGCTGGCTCTCGGCTCCCGCAGGATCAGCAGCAGGTGGCTCTGCCGCGGAGGCTGGGAGCTTTCATGGCGGAATCCATCGGGAGAGAAGCGGGGTGGTGTGTGTGTGAAGAGTGCAGCTGACTCCCGCAGGCTTCTCGCGCCTCCCCTCTCTCTCTCTCTCTCTCTCTCTCTCTCTCTCTCTCTCTCTCTCTCTCTCTCTCTCTCTCTCTCTCTCTCTCTCTCTCTCCCTCTCTCCCTCTCTCTCTCTCTCTCTCTCTCTCTCTCTCTCTCTCTCTCTCTCTCTCTCTCTCTCTTGCTTAGTCTGTCTCTATTTAATTTTCCCTCACTCTTTCTCTTTTTCTTTCTCTTTTTCTTTCTCTTTTTCTTTCTCTTTTTCTTTCTCTTTTTCTCTCTCTTTTTCTCTCTCTCTATCTTCCTTCAACTGCATCTCCTCCTCTTTTCCGTGTTTTATATAATTCTTTTTTTGCGTTTCCTCTCAAGAATGCCGAAGACGTTGTGTAACTTACGCTCCGAAGCGTGTGCGTTTTAAAGTGCGTGCGTGTATGAATTGCGTATACGTCTTAAGGTTCGTCTGCGTCTTAAATTGCGTGTGCCTCTTTAAATACGTGCGCATATGAATTGCGTGTGCGTCTTAAGGCGCGTGTGCGTATGAATTGCGTGTGCGTTTTAAAGTGTGTGTGCGTGTGTGTGCTACCGAGGCACAATGTGTGCGCAAGCGATTTCGTAAGACGGTTTAGTTCTTTTCATGTATGCGATTATGGCGAGTTACTTTTTTCATTAGAGGTGTGTGGGGGAGGGGACGGGGGGGGTGCTTATTGTGAAGACAATAGCGGAAATAAGTGTTTTCTTGGAGCAGGCAGGAGGAGGAGGTGGAGAAGAAGAAGAAGGAGAAGAAGAAGGAGAAGGAGAAGGAGAAGGAGAAGAAGAAGAAGAAGGAGAAGAAGAAGAAGCAGAAGAAGAAGGAGGAGGAGGGGGGGGGGCAGGAGAAGGGAAAGAAAACAAGGGAACAAGAATAAGGAGAAAAAAAAAAAGAAAAGGGCTTTTGCGTCATGTCTTCCATTATAGCTCGTTTATAATGGGGTGAATAATCGGCTCGTGACAGCGACGGCGAGCAGGAGGAGGTGGGAGAGGTCGCGCGCGCCATATTGTATGCAGTGTGTGTGTGTGTGTGTGTGTGTGTGTGTGTGTGTGTGTGTGTGTGTGTGTGTGTGTGTGTGTGTGTGTGTGTGTGTGTGTGTGTGTGTGTTATCGACGCCGAGGAGCGGTCCGACCCCCTCGGCCCCGCACAAAGGAGTCGGCGGCGAGGGCGAAGGCTGAACTTTCTTGGTCCGCCAAGGCCGGACGCGCGCCACTGGCCAAGAAGCTGGCTGAAGGCGGGGCTCCACGTCGTTGCAACCAATCAGCGGCCGGGAACGCGTATAGATCTCCGTGAGCAGCCTCTTGGCCACGCCCCCTCCTCCCCCTTGCCCGCTTCCCTCTCCCCTCTCTTCCCTCCTTCCCCTTGCCCGCTTCCCTCTCCCCTCTCTCTCTCTCCCCCTTCTCTCCCCTCTCCCCCGACCTGGATCCTGGAAGCTGTGTCACTGGATTGCGTCGCGGTTCATTGGTTATGGCCCGCACGCCGCTTGCTTCCCTGCTCGCTTGCTTGATGTTGCTTGCGAGGGGAGCTGTGTCTGTTGGTCGGCGGGGAGACAAAGGAGAGGGGAGGAGAGTTTTTTTTTTCTCTATCTTCCTTCTCCTCATCCTTCGGGCGATACGAGAGAGAGAGAGAGAGAAAGAGATAAAAAGGGAGAGATGATCGCTAGAGAATTAATTCCGGATGTGTTTGCATGATACCGCTCGACGGCGAGTGGGCGGAAGTTCCGATCGCACGAAACCGATGCTGTGGCTTTATCATTATTATCATCATCTTCATCATCATCTTCATCATTACCATCATTATCATTATGGTCAGTATCGTCGTCGTCACTATCGTCGCCATCATCATCGTTTTCATATTCTCAGATATCGCGTTTATTTTTAAAGGTGGTATGTCTGTTCAAGTATGTGTGTTCCTTTAAGCCGTTCAGCTGGACTGAGAATAATACTGGTTTTGCGTGTGTGTGTGTGTGTGTGTGTGTGTGTGTGTGTGTGTGTGTGTGTGTGTGTGTGTGTGTGTGTGTGTGCGCGCGCGTGTGTGTGTGGTTTACACTGAGGTCTGGATTTATTTTGACTAAACGTATTTACAGTGTCCTTCTTACAGAATTAACCACTTTTTATCTTTTAGAAACAGTAGTAATGGTATCTCATAGTCTTCTTTTGTAGAAATTAGATCTTTTGTAATCATAATCAAGAATGAAAAGTAGAATAGTGTTTATCTATATATATATTTAACCATTTACATTTGAGCCAACTAACTAACCTGTATGAACCATTGTAGTCAATAACTTTACCCCGGGTACTGGATGGCGACCCAGCACGGGTGGTTCGTCGTCCAGCACTGAGTCGTCACACCATCCAGTACTGGGGACGACCATCCAGAACTGGGGACGACCATCCAGTACTTGGGATAGCCATTTAGTACGACTATCTAGTACAAGGGGCCGACCATCCAGTACTGGGAGACACGACCACACGTTACTAGACGACGACCACCATCTCGACGACCTGCCTCCCAGTGCTGGAGGGACGACCACCCTAGTCCCCAGTGGTAGTGATTTCCAGTAGACTGACTTCCTTGTATTCTCTTCTCTTCTCAGCGTGGCCCTCAGCAGATGTCAAGACTTACGGATTTCACAGATGTAAGCGCCTCCTTCTTTTTATTTTTTTGTTTTTTTATCATCATCATCATCATCATCATCATCATCATCATCATCATCATCATCATCATCATCATCATCATCATCATCATCATCATCATCATCATCATCATCATCATCATCATCATCATCATCATCATCATCATCATCATCATCATCATCATCATCATCATCATCATCATCATCATCATCATCATCATCATCATCATCATCATCATCATCATCATCATCATCATCATCATCATCATCATCATCATCATCATCATCATCATCATCATCATCATCATCATCATCATCATCATCATCATCATCATCATCATCATCATCATCATCATCATCATCATCATCATCATCATCATCATCATCATCATCATCATCATCATCATCATCATCATCATCATCATCATCATCATCATCATCATCATCATCATCATCATCATCATCATCATCATCATCATCATCATCATCATCATCATCATCATCATCATCATCATCATCATCATCATCATCATCATCATCATCATCATCATCATCATCATCATCATCATCATCATCATCATCATCATCATCATCATCATCATCATCATCATCATCATCATCATCATCATCATCATCATCATCATCATCATCATCATCATCATCATCATCATCATCATCATCATCATCATCATCATCATCATCATCATCATCATCATCATCATCATCATCATCATCATCATCATCATCATCATCATCATCATCATCATCATCATCATCATCATCATCATCATCATCATCATCATCATCATCATCATCATCATCATCATCATCATCATCATCATCATCATCATCATCATCATCATCATCATCATCATCATCATCATCATCATCATCATCATCATCATCATCATCATCATCATCATCATCATCATCATCATCATCATCATCATCATCATCATCATCATCATCATCATCATCATCATCATCATCATCATCATCATCATCATCATCATCATCATCATCATCATCATCATCATCATCATCATCATCATCATCATCATCATCATCATCATCATCATCATCATCATCATCATCATCATCATCATCATCATCATCATCATCATCATCATCATCATCATCATCATCATCATCATCATCATCATCATCATCATCATCATCATCATCATCATCATCATCATCATCATCATCATCATCATCATCATCATCATCATCATCATCATCATCATCATCATCATCATCATCATCATCATCATCATCATCATCATCTTCATCATTACCATCATTATCATTATGGTCAGTATCGTCGTCGTCACTATCGTCGCCATCATCATCGTTTTCATATTCTCAGATATCGCGTTTATTTTTAAAGGTGGTATGTCTGTTCAAGTATGTGTGTTCCTTTAAGCCGTTCAGCTGGACTGAGAATAATACTGGTTTTGCGTGTGTGTGTGTGTGTGTTGTGTGTGTGTGTGTTGTGTGTGTGTGTGTGTTGTGTGTGTGTGTGTTGTGTGTGTGTGTGTGTGTGTGTGCGCGCGCGTGTGTGTGTGGTGTGTGTGTGTGTGTGTGCGCGCGCGTGTGTGTGTGGTTTACACTGAGGTCTGGATTTATTTTGACTAAACGTATTTACAGTGTCCTTCTTACAGAATTAACCACTTTTTATCTTTTAGAAACAGTAGTAATGGTATCTCATAGTCTTCTTTTGTAGAAATTAGATCTTTTGTAATCATAATCAAGAATGAAAAGTAGAATAGTGTTTATCTATATATATATTTAACCATTTACATTTGAGCCAACTAACTAACCTGTATGAACCATTGTAGTCAATAACTTTACCCCGGGTACTGGATGGCGACCCAGCACGGGTGGTTCGTCGTCCAGCACTGAGTCGTCACACCATCCAGTACTGGGGACGACCATCCAGAACTGGGGACGACCATCCAGTACTTGGGATAGCCATTTAGTACGACTATCTAGTACAAGGGGCCGACCATCCAGTACTGGGAGACACGACCACACGTTACTAGACGACGACCACCATCTCGACGACCTGCCTCCCAGTGCTGGAGGGGCGACCACCCTAGTCCCCAGTGGTAGTGATTTCCAGTAGACTGACTTCCTTGTATTCTCTTCTCTTCTCAGCGTGGCCCTCAGCAGATGTCAAGACTTACGGATTTCACAGATGTAAGCGCCTCCTTCTTTTTATTTTTTTGTTTTTTTTATTTTTTTTTTTTCATTTTCACTTCTTGGGCTTCCTTCTCTCCAACCACCATTTTCACCTTCATCTTCTCCCCTTTATTTCCTCCTTCTCTCCAACTCCTCGTTTCTAACGCCTCCATCCTTCCCTCCGTTTCTTCGTCCCTCCTTCCCTCCGTTTCTTCGTCCCTCCTTCCCTCCATTAAACTCTTCGTCTTCAACACCTCCCTCCTCTTTTTCCCTCCATTATCTTTGTTCCCTCCCGTCTTTCCCTCCCCCTTCTTTCCACCTTGTTACCCATTATTACAGTCTATCACCCCCCCCCCCATCTCACTCCCTGCTTGTGCTTGCTCCACACACTCCACGTTTCTTTCGCTCACTCACTCACTTACTCACTCACTTACTCACTCACTTACTCACGCACACTCACTTATTCTTTTTTGTCGGCTAGCTTGCCATGTTGACTTTGGGAGGAAATTGAAAGCAAAGTCGAAGAATTTTGGAGAATGTGAAGCACGTGTTGACTGACGGTTCACTGTGATTCTTGGTTGCGAGATGCCCCCACCCACCCTCTCTCTCTCTCTCTCTCTCTCTCTCTCTCTCTCTCTCTCTCTCTCTCTCTCTCTCTCTCTCTCTCTCTTTCTTCCCTTACTCCTCTCATTCTGCTTACCCCCTTCTTCTTCTTTCTCTTGCTCACCCTTTCTGTCTTCCTCCTCTTCCTCTTTCTTTCCCTCTCCATCTCTTTCTCGTCTTCTTCCTAGCCCCCTCTTTCTCCCTTTTCCTACTTCCTCTCCGTCTCCCTCTCTTTCTCCCCTTATTTTCCCTCTTCCTCTCTAGTCTCCGCTTCTTTTGTCTCCCCCTATTCCTCACCTTTTCCCTTTCCCTCATACCCTTCCCTTCTACCACCTCTACATCTCCTTCTTCCTTCCTTATCCACTCCCTCTGACTCCAGCTCCACCTCCACCTTCTCCTCCTCCCCCTCCTATTCCCTCTCCTCCCCCCTCTCCCATTCCCTCTCCTTCCCCCTCTCCCTCCCCCCGCAAAGAAAAATAGAAAATGTGTATATTTTTGGTTTGTTTTAAGGAACCCTCCTTTCGTAATAGCTGAACCATTTGGAATCCAGTTTTCCTCACATGTTAGAAGATGAATTTTAATTACATTCTAAATTACTTCTGGCACTGGCACTCTCTCTCTCTCTCTCTCTCTCTCCTTTTCCTCTCTCTCTACCTCCCTCCTTCCCTCCCTCCCTCTCCCTCTTTGTCTCCCCTTCCCACATGGATTGGCTTCTCTCCCTCATTTTCCAAGGGCGCATAGCTTCTCCCCACGTTTTCCTCTCCCCACACCCAGTTCACAATTCCCCATCCCTCATTCCCCATTCTCCATTTCCCCATTTCGCTTTCTCCGCATGCCTTATCGCTCACCCCGGCACTAACACAAGTAGACGATTCTTGATTTGTTTGTATTTTGTTAGCGGTGGATGGATCTCAGTAGATCTTAGCCACGCACTGTCATAAAATTCCAAGTTTGTTGTCATTGTTGTTGTTATTGTTATCGTTATGATTTTGTCATTATTATTTTATTTGTATATTCTCTTTTACTATTTATTATTTTGATTAGTATTATTATTTTCTTATTGGTAGCGTTACTTGGTAAAAGTTTTTATTGTTCATACTGCTGTTATGAATTTTTGACACTTATTATTTTAATGATTGCTTGATCTAATGATAATGTATATTTATTGTGGCCATGGTATGATTACTGGTTATCATTAATTTTATATTTTTATAGGTACGTTATTAACGACATATGTAATTCTTTTGTTCATAGTATTCCTCATTGCCACATTTTGTAATTGCTGTGATTAGGGATATGATATAAAATGTCATCTTATATATAATCTGTCTTGTTTTTGCTTTGTAATATTCAATTCATGTTGAAGTAAAATGTAAAGCTAGATATTTAAAAGTTAGATTCGTTTTTGCGCCATTTTTTGTCGGTTTTGCGAAGAGATGTTTTTTTGTTTTTTTTTTACCTTTGCGTTTTTTGCTTGTTTATTTATTTTTTTGTTTTAAACATAGGATATAAAGCGGTCATGGCTTTTTATTATTGGTTTTGTTTTGTTTTAGAAAAGTGTCACTTTGTTTTAAATGAGTTTTTTATTTTACGATAAGCTCCGTGCATTGCCTCGATTTTGGTTGTTATGAATACTAATACGCTGCTACTACCATTATTGTTGTCACCAGTATCGTTTTATTTTTATGCTACCATTCTTATCACTCTCACCGCCTTCGATTATTTATTAATTTATCTATTATTTCTTTTTAAAAAAATAATTCGCTCTCGTGCAACCAACACGTGCATTAACACCCCCCTTCCCCCCCCTTCTTTCCGCAGATCCCGGGAGCGCGATGCTGGCAGGCTCCTTGACTCCCCCAGACAAGGTCAACGGGGAAGCGCACCACCATCCCGCCCACCACCACCACCCGCACCACGCCCTCATGCCCGTCATGCCCACCCTCCACACGCCGCCCTCGCCCCTGCCCACGCCCTCGCCGCCCGTCTACGATAGGTTCGCGTAAGTAGTAGAAGTTGGGAGTTTGTTGTTGTTTTGTTTTGTTATTGCTATTTGGTTTTTGGTCTTCCTCTTGGGTGACTTTTTGAAATTATTATTATAATATTATTATTATTATTATTATTATTATAAGCATTATATACCTCTTATTCTGATGCTGATTCTGATTCTTAAACATTTTTTACCCCTTCTATCCCTCCTCTTCTTTTTCTTCTTCTTCTTCTACTCCACCTCCTCCTCCACCTCCTCCTCCTCCTCCTCCTCCTCCTCCTCCTCCTCCTCCTCCTCGTTTCCTTAATTACAACAGAATGCTAATTGTCCCGCGGCGAAAGAGGGCGACGGGATAATGAGCTTAGTTTCCCGCGGTCGCTCGGAAGGAAAATGATATATATATATGAACACACGGGTAGGGGGGGAGGCGTAGGGGGAGGAGGCGTAGGGGGAGAGGGGAAGAGAGGGAGAGGGGGAAGGGATGGGGAGGGATGGGGGGGGACGGTAGGGAGAAGGGGAAGGGATGGGGGGGAGGGGACGGAAGGGAGAAGGGGAAGGGGAAGGTATAGGGAGAGGAGAGGGGAGGGAAAGGTTTAGGACGGAAGAGGGAGGAGGGGGGAAAGGGGGGAGAAAAAGGAGAGGGAGGGCTGAGGGGAAGGAAACTAGGGGAGGGGGCATTCTGGAGTCCGTTTGGTATTAATGTTAAAGGTGTTGTCTTCCTGAAAAGAAAAAAAATCATATTAATTTCCAGGGTCTTAAGGTGTCTGCACCTTAGGGGGGGTGCGACAAAAAAAAAACAAAAAACAAAAAAAAACAAAAAAAGTTTTTAATGAGACAAAAAATGAAAAAAAATATTCGCGTGCTCATCTCGGTGCAGTCTTGAAGGAAGGGTTGCGTTTTGATGAAGATATTTAATGAAGTGGTAATTGGGGGTGGAGGGACGGGAGGGGGGGAGGGTAAGCGGGAGGGAGGGAGAGGCTTAGGGCTTAAGGGAGAGAGAGAGAGAGAGAGAGAGGGTGTGGGGGAGGGGAGGGCACCACCCCTGCCCCCCCCCCCACTCGCACTCCCCGCTGGTGCCACAAATTAGGTTGTGGGATTGCCCGCGTCTCCGTGCCTGGTGCCCTGCCTCTCCCTCTCGCGGCCCTCGCTCCTGCCCCCTGCTCCCTTTTTCTGTGCCCTTTGCCCTGCTGGGATTTGCGAGGTTTCTTGTGATTCTCTCTCTCTCTCTCTCTATCTATCTTATTTTATTTAATTATATGTGTGTATGTATATATATATGTGTGTGTGTGTGTGTGTGTGTGTGTGTGTGTGTGTGTGTGTGTGTGTGTGTGTGTGTGTGTGTGCATATATCCCATCCCGCTTTCGTTCTTGAGCAAACGTCTTGGAAATCTCCTTATATTAAATGCGAGCATGTGTGTTTGTTCCTGTGTGCGCTACTTTGTGGGAGAGAGAGCGTCCGTATCGCTGTTCCAGGCAGGTGCTGACTCTCCCCCCTCCCCCCCTTGTGTAGCGGCCATTCTGGAGGGAGATGGCTGGGACGGGGCCGAGGCAGGACCAAGGATGCGACAGGTGCAGAGTGTGTGTGTGTGTATGTGTTGTGTGTGTGTGTGTGTGTGTGTGTGTGTGTGTGAGAGAGAGAGAGAGAGAGAGAGAGAGAGAGAGAGAGAGAGAGAGAGAGAGATTTAATGCATGTGTGCGGAAAGAGGATGAGGGTGTGAGCGAGTGGGAAGAGGAGGAAGAGGAGGAGCTGGAGCTGCTGACGAAGGACATTGGAACAAAGAGGCAATCTTGCCAAAAGCGCCGAATTACTTGGGCGGGGGGTGGGGGGTGGGGAAGGGGAGACAAGGGGAACGATAACGGGGAGGCGGGAAGGGGGGAAAGGGGGAAGGGGGTAGGAAGGGAAGTGCCAAATGGAGAAATTAGATAATGGCAGGGGATTGGTGTAAACGACGCGACCTCGTGTGGCTGTGATATATCCCGAAGGTCGTTTTCAATCCCCCCCCCCTTCCCTGCCCTCCCTCCTCCTTCTTCTGCCCTTCCCTCCTCCTCCCCTCCTCTTCATTTACCCATCTCCCTCTCCTTCCCTGTCCCCTTCTTCCCCCTTGCTTCGTCTCCCCACTTCTCCTCCCCTCCTTCCGCTCCCTTACCTGCCACCGTCTAACCCTTGCCTCTCCCCTCAGGCCGAAGGAGCAGCGCCTTACGCGGGAGGCGATGCAGCGGTACCTGCGCGAGCGCGGCGACCAGACGGTGGTGATCCTGCACGCCAAGGTGGCCCAGAAGTCGTACGGCAACGAGAAGCGCTTCTTCTGCCCGCCGCCGTGCATCTACCTGTACGGCGACGGGTGGCAGCGCAAGCGGCACGAGCTGCAGCGGGCCGGCGCCTCCGAGCACGACTCCCAGCTGTGCGCCTTCATCGGGATCGGCAACTCGGACCAGGACATGCAGCAGCTCGACCTCAACGGGAAGGTGAGGAGGACGGCCGGCTGGCTCCGTCGCGCCGTTGGTTTTGTCGCTCCGTCGGCGGGGCGGCTGGTAGTTCGTTTATAACGTGTAATTTAGCACGTGATTTGTTGGTTGCTTAATTGATCATGTGTTATTTAGTACGTCATTTAGTACGTTACATAGTTTTGTATTTCATGTACTTTACTCCGGTTTTCGTTGTTGCTGTTAGATTTTAGTTAGGGATTATATTTCCTGTCTTGGTTACAGATCGATGCATTTTTTAAAGATAAATCGTAATTATGTCATTATTTTAGTAACGAATATTGTGTGTATATATATTTGATTTTAACTTATTTTAGAATTCTCAGAATGTGAGAGTAACGGTGTGCTTGGTGATTTATCACGTGATTTGAGTAAATGATTTTGGTCTGTTGGGTAAAATATATGAAGAGAAAATTACGTGAGATATATCCCAAGGTAAGCTGAGTGCTTGCCAATCATTTTAATCTTTAACAAAAATCGTCTGGTTGAGTTGTCACTGTGTGTGTGTGTGAGAGAGAGAGAGAGATAGAGAGAGAGAGTGAGAGAGAGAGAAGTAAAAAATATAGAAATAGAAACAAAACATTCCCACATCATCATCTAACTCCCCCCCTCTCCTTCCTCTCCCCCCAGCACTACTGCGCCGCCAAAACCCTGTACATCAGCGACTCCGACAAGCGAAAACACTTCATGCTGACCGTGAAGAAGTTCTGGGGCAACGGCGCGGACATCGGCGTCTTCCACTCGCGCAGGATCAAGGTCATCTCCAAACCGTCCAAGAAGAAGCAGAGTCTCAAGAACGCCGATTGTGAGTGCCTCTCGATTTTGTTTCTCGTTTTTTTTATTATTGCGTGGACTTTTTTTCTTAGGTTTAGTAGTTGTTCAGTTTAAGATCATCATCACACACATTCAGTGAGAGACACGCATACGCGCGTGGATAGATATGTCTCCCCAGACGCACGCGCCCTTCTCCGAGGAATTCGGGAAACCACACCCCCGTATCCTTGCACAATAGTACACTCTTAAGACGCTCGGCGACCACACCCAACCACCCTCCACCCTCCACCCTCCACCCTCCACCCTCCACCCTCCACCCTCCACCCTACCATATTACTCCCTACCATATTACTCCCTACCACCCACACGCTGTCCACCCAACCACCGTATGCTCTACCACACGTCCTCCTCTGCCACCCTACCCGACCAACTGGCTGCCCCCTCCCCCCCCCAGGAGATGTTCGGCAGAGGGCGGCGAGGATGGTTTTTTAGGAGGACGCGAAGGAAAGAATAGTGATCGTTGGTTAGGATCGGTGGCGAGGGCGTAGGACTGACGCTGAAGGAGCAAGGGGGGGGGAGGGGGGGGGTGGTTCTGGCTTCTTTCTGATTGTCTGTTTGTCTCTCTCTGTCTGTCTGTCTCTCTCTCTCTCTCTCTTTCTGTATGTGTTTGTTTCTCTCTCTCTCTCTCTCTCTCTCTCTCTCTCTCTCTCTCTCTCTCTCTCTCTCTCTCTCTCTCTCTCTCTCTCTCGCTCTCTCTCTCTCGCTCTCTCTCTCTCTCTCTCTCTCTCTCTCTCTCTCTCTCTCTCTCTCTCTCTCTCTCTCTCTCTCTCTCTCTCTCTCTCTCGCTCCCTCTCTCTTTCTCACTTTCTCTATCTCTTTTTCTCCCTGCTCCCCTTCTCCTTTTCTCCCCTCAGTTTCTGTTTTGTATGTATATCAATATACATAAATCGTATGCATATGTCCCCTCCTTCCCTCCCTTCCTCCCTCCCTCCCTCCCTCCCTCCCTCCCGGCCTTGAGTCCCGCCGCCCCTGTCGCCGCTGCGGTCACCAGGAGCATGTGGGTGGCGAGGGCCGCGGCGGACGGTGGTCGCGCGTCCGCCCGGGGCTGGAGCAAGTGTCCGAGCGTCCGTGGTCGTCGTTGTCGCCGCCGACGCCAGAAGGACTGTCGTTTCGTTGGCGTATCTGTCTGTCAGCCGGGCAGGTCTTCTTTGTGGTTTTGGCTTATGGTAATGCAGCCCTTGGACTGCGTCTTAGCTTTATGTCATTTGTTGTTGTTTTCGGTATCTTGTCTTTTCCTTTTTTTCTTTTTCTTTCTATTTTTTTTTAACTTGTCTTGTTTTTGTTTTTCTCATTTAGTTTATTTCTTCACTCTTCCTCGTTCTAGCACCCCTCTCCTCTCTTCTCTCGCACTTCTACCTTCTTCCTTTTCCCATCTCCCTTCTCTCCTTCTCTTCCCTCTCCCCTCCCTCCTTCTGTCTCCTCCCCTCTTCCATTCTCTCCTCCCATTCTCCTCTTCTATCTCTCCCCTCTCTCTCTTCCCTTCTTCCCCTTCCGACCTTTCATCAGGAAGGCAACACTCACCTGTTGTGCTTCACCCGAGGCTTGGACAGCGAGCGTGTGCAGAGGTCGTGGGCTTTACGGAAGGAATCCGGAAGTTTGGAAACGGCTTCGATACCGACAGGCAGAGGAGAGAGAGATTGGAATGATTCTTGCGCACTCGCGTTTGTATTCCGAAATGGCAAGCGCCCGCAGACGCGGCACCAGGAATGCGCGAGTGTTTTCTCAGAGGGACACGCGCCGTCGTCGCCAGAAGTCTTGAAATGACGGCCGTCTTACGCAATCGTGGCTGCGTGTCTCAGAAGCGGCGACGGCGGCGGTGGTTGCGAAACTTTGCCGGATTTATCGTTGGAAAGTGTGGCCACGCGACGCTGTTTGGGGAGGCGCGTGGCACAGCCTGCCTCTTGGCGGCCGTGGTCAAGGAAGCTGCTGCGGCTGTCGGAATGCGGGGAATAATAAAGTTTCGTTCGTGTTTTTTTAGGGGGGGGAGACTTGCTTGTGTCTTCCTCTTAACCCTTTAAAGGAGATTTCTTTTTTTTTTGTCTCAAATCATATCTTTCTTGAACTCGGTAAGAGAGAAAAAAAATATTTCTTTCTTTGTTCCAATCCCAGAAGGCCTTCCTGCAGTCCGTTGAAATAGAGACGGAATTCGATACCATGGACTCGGCAGCAGCGCTCACGTTGGGGGAGGGAGGAAGCAGCGCCGAGTCTCCTGTGCTCTACTCTGGCGGCGCGAAGGGGCCCCTGTGCGCGACTGGATGTAATAACAGTAAAATTACGATCATTTGCGGGCCCCTCTTGACCTGGAAGAGGGGCAGAACGCGAGGCAGCCACCGGGTCCAGTCGTGGCCCCTATATATCCCGGCGGTAATGATCACTTTGGCGTGACACCTGCAGCGCGAGGGTTACGCCTCCGCCGCACCGAGCTCCGTAATGGCTGCTCCGGGATTATGCGGTTAGAAAACTGAAAGTTGGGGGTTGGGAGCCGGGCCGGAGGATCACCTTGTTTCCGCCGTCACCTGTCCGATGCGGAACTCCTGCGCCGCGTCGACGAGGACCCGCGGCGAGTCCGCAGTCAAGCTCTGTTTGATCCTGATTCGGGTTGGATCTTTCTTTCTTTCTTTCTTTCTTTCTTTCTTTCTTTCTTTCTTTCTTTCTTTCTTTCTTTCTTTCTTTCTTTCTTTCTTTCTTTCTTTCTTTCTTTCTTTCTTTCTTTCTTTCTTTCTTTCTTTCTTTCTTTCTTTCTTTCTTTCCCTCCACCCCTTTCCTTCGCCTTTCGATTACAAGCCTCGTGTTTATGACTGGCTGGCGTAAGCGACGTCAATTGTCACACACCGAGGCCTCGAATTATTTCGTTTTTCATATGTCTTTGTTCGCGTGTAGAAATTTTGTTTTATTTTATGTTCTTGTTTTTGTGCTTGTGTTCTTGGGGTTTGTTGTTTTGTTAGTGTCGTCTATGCCATTCTCTCCCAACACAACATTTTTACATTTGAAAAAAAAACATTACCAACAGTTCTCAGGAAATACAGGTTTACACAATACACCTTCCAAAGACTTCGAGAGAGGATATTAAGTGTACTCTTCCGCGCATATTTAAAAGATTAGATCAAGTTGGATTTCATTGATCACAAGTTCATATTTCCATGCATTTATGTAGGAAAAATTTTATTCATTTTTTATATATTGTTTGTTTGTTTGTTTATTTCATATATATCTAAGAAAGTTAACTTAAAACATGTATTTACTATTGCTAATACATGCTTTCAAATTTTGTCATGAAATAAAGCTTGTCTATTAATAAATAATGATGTCAAGGCATGTGTGCGTTCGAGTGTGCTCGCGCAATTATGCATACGCTAAACCCACACAAACATATGTGTGCATGTACTGTAGGGATGGATAGGTGTTATTGAACACATCCGTCTACGGTTTCAATATAATGGATTCTTACTACATGACTGTTGTGCCTTCGAGACTAACCTCCCCCCTCCCTCCGTAGTGTGTATCGCGTCGGGCACAAAGGTGGCACTGTTCAACCGCCTGCGCTCCCAGACGGTGTCCACGCGGTACCTGCACGTCGAGAACGGCAACTTCCACGCCTCGTCGACGCAGTGGGGCGCCTTCACGATACACTTGCGTAAGTATTTCCTCGCCGACGTTCTTAGGGTTTTTGGGGTGGTGGTTGCCGCTCCTGTTTGGATATGTTATTATAACTACTACTACTACTACTACTACTACTATAACTACTATAACTGATTGTTATTGTTGCAGTGACAGCTACTGTTTTTTTCTTTGTTTTAGCGACTGTGGCTATTCTTTTTTTAACGGCTTTGAGTTCCTCAGCGACTGGTGCTTGTTTTTCCTCTTCTTCAACAACCATTTTCGCAACAGAATCAGTCACCAGTCAGTTAGTCAGGCAGTCAGGCAGTCAAGCAGGGTCGTGGGAGCTGCACGTGGAAAAGGGAGGGCGTGCGTTCCATTTTTTTTTTTTTTTTTTTTTTTCATCCTTTTTTTTTTAATGATTATTACCGTCCGATCATTATTATTTTTACCCCTCTGTTGCGCGCAGATATAAACACATAAACGGAATGATTATGCGCGCGTTACGCAGCCACGAAGGGCCGCCGCCGAAATTACGTCACGTATAAGTAATTTCGCCGTGATTTTTTTCCGTGTGTGTCTGTGTGTACGTACGCGTAGCTAGTTTTTGTGTGCGTGTGCGTCATTTGAACTCTTGTCTTTATGATGATAAGTACAAGGTTGGTTCTCATAGGAGCAAATCGCCTGTTTCGTTTTTTATTATATTTATGAAATGAGAACTAGGGATGCATGGATAGGAGATAAAGAAGAAAGGGAGAGATGAAAGATAGAAGAAAAAAAAGTCAGGGAGAGGAAAAGTGTGTGCTTGGTCGTGTTTGTGAACATGTGTTCAAGATGATTTGCAACGAGGCGCAGGCGTAAGTGGATGCACATGCAACCGCGGTGTAGTTGTGTCTTCGCGTGTGGTTGAAAACGGGGGGGGGGGGGGTAGGGGGGGTAAGGGAGAGATGAGGGAGGAGTAATGTTGTGGGTAGGGGTTGGGGAAGGGGGGAGGGGGTTGGAAGGGCGGAGATGGAGGGGGAGAGAAGGGGGAGAGGGGAGGTAGGGGGGAGGGGGTAACAGCTGACGGTGGGAAGGATTGAGGTGGACGCTGCCTCCTGCCAGGTGCACATCTATTATGCACCTTGCACTTTTATCTCTCGCTTGCTTGCCTTGCATCTTTCACAAATGGCTTTCCGATATTTTGGATTTTCACACGGGCATTATAGATCGTAATTTACTGAGTAAAAGGAGGTTTTTTTTTTTTCATCCTTTTTTTTGGAATGATTATTACCGTCCGATCATTATTATTTTTTCCCCTCTGTTGCGCGCAGATATAAACACATAAACGGAATGATTATGCGCGCGTTACGCAGCCACGAAGGGCCGCCGCCGAAATTACGTCACGTATAAGTAATTTCGCCGTGATTTTTTTCCGTGTGTGTCTGTGTGTACGTACGCGTAGCTAGTTTTTGTGTGCGTGTGCGTCATTTGAACTCTTGTCTTTATGATGATAAGTACAAGGTTGGTTCTCATAGGAGCAAATCGACTGTTTCGTTTTACATGTTTGTTGTGAGAGTGGGGTAGGTGTTTGTTTGTTTGTTTGTTTTACTTATATTTATGAAATGAGAACTAGGGATGCATGGATAGGAGATAAAGAAGAAAGGGAGAGATGAAAGATAGAAGAAAAAAAAGTCAGGGAGAGGAAAAGTGTGTGCTTGGTCGTGTTTGTGAACATGTGTTCAAGATGATTTGCAACGAGGCGCAGGCGTAAGTGGATGCACATGCAACCGCGGTGTAGTTGTGTCTTCGCGTGTGGTTGAAAACGGGGGGGGGGGGGGGATAGGGGGGTAAGGGAGAGATGAGGGAGGAGTAATGTTGTGGGTAGGGGTTGGGGAAGGGGGGGGGGGTTGGAAGGGCGGAGATGGAGGGGGAGGAAGAGTGGATGCACATGCAACCGCGGTGTAGTTGTGTCTTTCGCGTCGTGGTTGAAAACGGGGGGGGGGGGGGATAGGGGGTACGGAGAGATGAGGGAGGAGTAATGTTTGTGGGTAGGGGTTGGGAAGGGGGAGGGCGGTTGAAGGCGGAGATGGAGGGGGAGAGAAGGGGGAGAGGGGAGGTAGGGGGGAGGGGGTAACAGCTGACGGTGGGAAGGATTGAGGTGGACGCTGCCTCCTGCCAGGTGCACATCTATTATGCACCTTGCACTTTTATCTCTCGCTTGCTTGCCTTGCATCTTTCACAAATGGCTTTCCGATATTTTGGATTTTCACACGGGCATTATAGATCGTAATTTACTGAGTAAAAGGAGGACGTTATGTTTGCATTCTTTATGGCTCTCTCCGTCTTAAGATTTCAGTGTTTTCGTCTCGGGCGGTTAAAGATTGAAGAAGGTCATCTTAGCCGTTAAGAAGAAAAAAAAACGATACTTTTCCTCCATTTTGGTTTGGGCTGCATTCTGTATGGGAGGATTAGATGCCCATTTCACTTTATTTTAATTTATTCATTTAACCGAAGAAAGTTTTTTTTTTTTTTTTTCATTTGACTTATTTCTGTTGTTTCGTCTTGTATTGAGGTGGTGATACTTTTTTCTTTCGTGCGTGTTTTGGCGTGAACTTTGGATGTATCTCCGCGCCTCGAGTTACTTTGTGCTCCCCACATGTGAACTTTTGAACGGTGACATTTATCGATGAGGTATTTTTTTTAAGGATGAATTGCTTTGTCGCTTATTAGTCTTAGAAAAATAGATAAAACAATAATCCCTATATTTTAATAGCTGCAATAGAAAGAAAATGATTCTGCTAAATCATTTGATATGATACATTGTCATTCATGATGGTTGTAAAACTAAGTTAAAAAATAAAAATCCATTCAAAAAGGACTAAAAATGCCACATGCATTAGTAAGCCCATTAACATACCCGCAAGTAACGCCACGCCCACGAACAATTCCAGAAAAGTACCACGCCCATTAACAGTATCAGAATACCAACCATTAACAATCCAAAAGAAATGCCAGTCGCCTTGGTAATCCCCGAGTAAAGGCATTCCCACCACCAGTCTCAGTGTACCGCCACTGACACCTTCCTCCCCCCCTCCTGCAGTGGACGACAACGAGAGCGAGAGCGAGGAGTTCAGCGTGCGCGACGGGTACATCCACTACGGGTCAACGGTGAAGCTGGTGTGCGCCGCGACGGGCATGGCGCTGCCCAGACTCATCATCCGGAAGGTGGACAAGCAGACGGCCCTCATGGATGCCGACGACCCAGTCTCGCAGCTGCACAAGTGCGCCTTCTACATGAAGGACACCGAGCGCATGTACCTGTGCCTCAGTCAGGAGCGCATCATTCAGTTCCAGGTGAGAGGATGTTGGGATGTTTTTTTGTGTTTCGTTGTTTATTATGAGCTTAGTTCTCCTCTCTAACTCCTTGATTCATTATTTACTTGAGTTGTTATTGATACTTGCGTACATTCGTTTTCATTTGTGATAGTAGAAGGACATCACTCTCCTCACATATTTTGCAAGTGGTTTGATATTTGACCAATCAACTAACAAGACCCTTTGATTTCTCAGGCCACCCCCTGTCCCAGAGAACCCAACAAGGAGATGATCAATGACGGGGCCTCCTGGACCATCATCAGCACAGACAAGGCCGAATACCAGTTCTATGAGGGCATGGGTCCTGTCCGTGCACCTGTCACACCTGTACCTATTGTCAATTCTCTGCACGTAAGTATAAGATGTTCTCTTTCTATTAGGGGCAAAATCTGATAGTATGATAGTCGATTTCATTTTGGGTGGAGTTTCGTGATGTGAATTTTGAAAGAATAAACAAATCAGTGTTTTCAGTCTCATTATCATTTACTCTGTTTAAACTATATAGAAGCTAACATGAGGTAAGATTTGTTACAGGTTCTCTACACTCCTTTGACTTTCGTTAGATGCTCATTCCTGAATTTCCTGTCCACAGCTAAACGGAGGTGGTGACGTCGCCATGTTGGAACTCACTGGCGAGAGCTTCAGCCCCAATCTGCGCGTGTGGTTTGGCGACGTCGAAGCAGAGACGATGTACCGCTGTCAAGAGTCTATGCTCTGCGTTGTGCCCGACATCTCTGCTTTCCGAAGGGGGTGGCAGTGGGTCCGTCAGCCTACGCAGGTGAGGAGCGCGTTGTTGGTGCTTCAGGTCTTGGATGTCTGCGTGTTGTAATTTAGGATATTTAGGACTGTTGATTATTTTAAGGCTTTTAAATTTTGTAGATGGCATGTGTTAAGATAAACACAATTCTAGGTGTTTTATTTAGTTTTGCCATTAGGAAATGTGTCCTGTATTTTTTCACTCATTACTAGTCCAGGAACTTGTGAAAATAAGAGTAATTAGTTGTGTGTGTGTGTATTATTTATTTATTTATTTATTTGTTTACTTATTTATGTATGTATTTGTTTGTTTGTTTGTTTATTACTTGAATTTATTTATATATATATATTTGTATATATATATATATTTATATATATATATTTATATATATATATATATATATATATATATATATATATATATATATATATATATATATATATATATATGAGAGACTTTAGAATGACTACAATACAAATTTCTCAACTGCTTTTCTCTCTTCCAGGTGCCTGTGTCTTTAGTCCGTAACGACGGCATAATCTACGCCACCAACCTCACCTTCACATACACACCCGAGCCCGGCCCGAGGCAGCACTGTCCCCAGGCGGACGACATCATGAGACCTCCCCAGCATCGCCTGCCACCCGCCTCCCTGCACGACACGCCCACCTCCGCCCACGCGCACCATCATGCCTCGCCACCAGCCAACCCTCTTGTACCTCTACAGTTCGAACCTTCACAACCACTTCATACATCCACTCAACAACAGCATCAGCAACAGCAGCAACAGCAACAGCAGCAGCAACAACAACAGCAACAGCAGCAGCAGCAGCAACAGCAACAACAGCAGCAGCAACAGCAACAGCAGCATCTTTAAAGGCCTTGACTCTGTCTTCCCTAAGCTTACAAAGGAAAGCCCATGAAACAGGCATACTGCGATAAAGAACTACAGGAGCAGCACGTATGTCATGGGTGATTTTGAAATTCAGTAAAATATAAAAAAAAAAAAGAAAGAAATACGGTGTTGTGTTGTTTGTTGTGTTGGGCTGTGAAATGCTCCCGAAACACATGCTTGTGCCCAGTGAAAGTGAAGTGAAATAATGTTAATGATGAAACCCATTGTGCCGTGCTTGCTGACAGAGACAGTTTTAACACAGTGCACGGTCGGACACTTGAGGGTTAACTCGATTCCTTACTCTTTACTTGGGCGGACGCTGTAACAAGTGCTGTCATGAGCATATTGGAAAAATAAAGTTTACTCATCGTGATGTGTGTACAACATAGTTTTGGATTTGCGAAGTTTTGTATAATCACGTCTGTACATGACATTCCATTTTTAAAAAATGACCACACTCAATGTACAAAGTTAATTAGTGACTAGTGTAGGAAATTTGCAAAGAATATTTGTTTACTGAATGGGAAATGTAACTCCATGAAAACTCAAATTCAAAGGTTTTGGCTGCAACTGATACTTCTCTAGAGGTTCCTTCTACTGTTTGTGATATTTTTGTACTCGTATGATTGAAAGTATTTTTAGATCTCAACTTTAGGTATTTGATCTATTTCTTGAGTGAATTTTTGTATTGTTTTATTTTTGTAAATATCGGATTAGATTGTATTAATCTTTTTTTTTTCTTTTTTTTTAATTCTATATATTAATTTTAATAGCCACAAAACTCGTAGGGCTAATCGAAAGCTACACTTAAAAAGTTCAGCAGTGTACTGTTAGGTTAGTGTGGCTGTGTCTGGTCCACCTCTTCGTTATAACATACACAGTAACTCTATTATCAGACCTATTGTGAAATATGCATCACATGGTATAACTACTGTTAAATAGGACAGTTTTTTATGTATCGAAGACTATACCTATGTTAGAATTGGTATAGTGCATAAAGTATATGACGAGAGACCATGCTTTGTACATTTGTAAACATCAGGTTTTGTATTTGGGTATGTAACTACTATGTAAATAATTGCCGACAGTGTCAAAAGAAGATTTTTTTCAAATCCTAAATTCGGGAGAGGGAAAACCATTTCACAGTCATATAAACAAGGGTCACAGGTTCCGCGAGGTCACAGTTCACGTTAGAAAATGAGTGTAATTTTTGGTCACAAGGAGCGGGGAGTGCCACAGGTACTCTGCCCAGATGTAGCACACATTAAAGTTTGTGATAAGTGTACAGCAGTCTCTTTATGTACAGTATTTAATATTCATTCATGCAATAAAGTTCAGTTTGTAAGAATCTTTTCTTTCTTCCTTGCTAACAAACATTTTAAAACAATTATTATTGTTCTACTTAAGTGTACACACAGTTACTCACACATATACATATGTATATGCATTTCCATTAATATATATGTGTGTGTGTGTGTGTGTATGTATGTATGTATGTATGTATGTATATACATACATGTATATATACATACATGTATATATACATACATGTATATATACATATATATATACATATATACATATATATATATATATATATATATATATATATATATATATATATATATATATATATACACATATATGCACTTATATATACATATATATACACATTTATATACATATATATGCATATATATATATATATATATATATATATATATATATATATATATATATATTTATATATATATATATATATATATATATATATATATATATATATATACATATACACATACACATATACATATATGTAAATATATGTGTATATATATACATCTATACACATTCACACACACATATAGATATAGATATACACGCATATATATATGTGTGTGTGTGTGTATATATGTATATGTACATGTATAGATATGTATATGTATACATATGTATATATATATATATATATATATATATATATATATATATATATATCATATATCATATTATCATATATATCATATATATCATATATATCATATATATATATATATATATATATATATATATATATATATATATATATATATATATATATTTATATAAATAACATATATATATATAAATAACATATATATATATATATATATATATATATATATATATATATATATATGTATATATGTATATATATATATATATATATATATATATATATATATATATAATATATATATATAATATATATATATAATATATATATATGATATATATATGATATATATATAATATATATATATATATATATATATATATATATATATATATATATATATATATATATATATATATATTCCGCGGCGGGAATTAAACTTGGAACGACGAGGGTCGGAGTCCGGTGAGAAGAAGGGTGGCCGGCATATGGGAGAAGGCGGAAGATACGGGGAGCGAGGAGACTAAAGCCGCTGTCCAGGTTGAAATTAGGCAGAAGCTTGTTTAAGGAGGATTCCACCAGTCTGCCTGCGTGGACATCAGCGAAAGGGAAGTCAATTCGCGCAGCTGACCAATCCATCTGATGGCCTATGTCCCACTCATGGCAGCAGAGTCCGTAGTTGTTGTGTCCCCCGGATACAGCTTACTTCAGTGGAGACACGCTTAGTGAGACTGGCACCAGTATCGCCAAAGTACTGCTTATCACAGGAGGCACAAAGAACATAGGTGCCCGTCTTCAAGGTAGAGGGAGGGCTGGTGTGGCCCAGGTTGCGAGAGAGAGTAATCACCTATTGAAAGGTAAACCTGCAGTTGAGAGGGAGAAGAGGGCGACGGAGAGAGAGTTAGATCTCAGTGTAGGGTAGACTAAGGACAAGCAGATGAGGAGTCGTGGTTGAAGATACGCCGTGCCCTGGATAACGCAACGTCGAGAACCTGGCGAGGGTTGCCCAGTTTGGAGAACAAA